CTATTCTGATTGATTGATTGAGATGGATGAAAAGGGGGAATCGATGCGAGAGGGGACGGGGTGAACGGTGCGGCCAAAAGCGATAGATACCCCGCCTTCCTCATGCCCGGTGGGGCCGGGACAACTCTTGCTTAAAAGTATTGAGAAGCGGCGGCACGCCTGGACCCGACTCAACTTTTGCAACCAAGCACTCTTCACATGCTCAGAGGCTGCCTGCTTTTCCTCTTGCTCCCTCTTGAAAAAGCCTCCCCAGCGCGGCCGGGTCCCAGGAGGAGCCTTCCAGATGGAGAGGGAGGGAAATGGAGGAGAGGCGCTCTGCCCATGGCCAGAGTCCCTCTGGCACCCAGGAGCCCGTCCCGCGGCGCAGCCAGGCGCAGAGGCCACTCACCAAAGTCTGCTCGTACTGCAGCGCCCGCTGCTCCAGGCCGCCGTCCGCCGCCATCCCGGCCGCTTGCTCCGGCGTCTCCGTTAGCGGGCAGCGGGTCCCTCCGGGCAGCCCTACCGGTGCTTTCCTCCCTTCGGCCGGGGCTCCTCGCTTGCCTCCGCCTCCCCACCGCCCCCGGGCGGGCAGGGGCGGGACGGGGCGGGACGGGACTGGCTGCCGGATCAAGGCCGGAGGGAGTTCCCGCCAGCCCCGCTGCTCCGCCTCTGCTGCCCCCGTCGGAGCCGGCCGGGAGCTCTGGTGGGAGAAGCGGCGGCCGGACGCTCCGTCCGGAGGCGTCTTGGCGGACGGGCCACCGACTCACGCGTCCTCCCCTAAACCGGCCCGAGAACATCGGCTAAGCTGGATTGGCCGGACTAAATGCCTCGATCAAGCGTGTACACGCGATGCCTCGTTCATACAACACGTTGAACCCCCTAACCACATACACATATACACACACGCAGTCCTCGACCACACAGACAAAACACTCGCACACAGTCCTCGATTTACAACAGTTCATTTAGTGACCACTCAAAGTGGCAACAGCCGTGGAAAATAAAGGGACTTATGACCATTTTTTCACACTTGCAACCTTGTTTGGCGCATCCCCATTTGATCAGGTGGTCGAAATTCAGATGCTTGGCATGTGGTTCACATTTTATGATAGTTGCGGTGTCCCAAGGTCTCCCGATCTCCTTTTGCGACCGTTTCTCTGACAAGAAAAAGACAGTGGGAGCCAGATTCATGTAAGTTCGTGTTGCCAACTTATCAACTGCGGTGATTCGTTTAGCAACTGGGGGAGGAAAGGTCATAAAATGTGGCAAGGTTCACTGAATCAATGTCTCACTTAACAACAGAAATGTTGGGGCTTGATGGTGGTCATAAATCCAGGACTACCTGCACCAGTGGTGGGTTTCAAAATTTTTTAGAACCTCTTCTGTAGGTGTGGCCTGCTTAGTGGGAGTGGCTTGCCAGCCATGTGACTGGGTGGGAGTGGCTTGGCATTCATGTGACTGGGTGGGCATGGCCAACTTGTAAAATGTGGTGAAACTCACTTAACAACGCTCTTGCTTAGCAACCAAAATGTTGGCTCAGAAACTCTGGCATTTGAAGCAAACAAGTCTTAAAGCTTTCAAGTTACAAGACCCTTGCACCCCTAACTCTTTAGGAAAAACAACCCCGGGGGTGTTCAAACTTGACAGCTTTAAGACTTTAAGGTTTAGATAGGACTGTTTGAGGCGGGGGGGGCAATTGGTGAGCCAGCCAATCATTGAGCAGCGGGCGGGGCAAGCGTGGTGCGGATGGGTGGAGGGAGCGAGCTGGAACTGGTTCTAAATGGCATGGTAGATTTGTGCAACCTCTTCTATAGAAGAG